GGTAAATGAAATAGCTGGACATTAGCTTATCACTTGTTTTCTAGCCACATACTAGAAATTCCAGTGTCACATTCATTCTCTCTCTGTGCATGTACAGTTGGCAAAAATAGCAAGGTCCAGGATTGTGCTGTTCTAAGACATTATTTTAAGTAAAATTATGCTTTCACTGGGGCAAAAGGGGAACAAGCATTTATTTGGTTTTGTGCCTTGTTGTGTATTGCAAACTTTGTTCCTTCCTCATTTGTTACAGTGATCAGTTTTATTATTTATGAAAATTACAGTTTGGAGATTAATGTGCAGAGCTGTGTCTTTAGATGCGGTTATGCTGAAGTTATGACCTCCCTTTTTTGAGCAGTCTTTTGATCCATTTTACTCCAGCCATTGTTGGTTGATGTGCTTTCTAAGCCCTGAGTGACATTAGAGACGCAGATGTTGTCTTTGGTGCTGTAGTTCTACCTCTCATTTTGTAAATGAAAACATAGCCCAGAGGGGTTAATTGACCCGCTCAAGATCGCCCTGGGAGTGTGGGGCTCTCTCTGTTAGTCAATGAAATCAGGAGACTGCCTCCTCTTAGTATTTGGATTCCCCAGGATTGGGAAAAGAGGGCTTTTGTTTATTTGTTTATTTTTCTTAAAATACTACAAATGAGCCCTGAGTACCCATGGTAAAGCTTCCCATTTTTTTTCTGTGAAATTTTCTGATTATTACTCAGTATCAAAACCTTTTAAAAGTGTTCTTATTTTCCTGAGTGTTTCACCCTGTAATTCCTTGGCCTTTCTCCACAGGTACATTAGTCTTTTAAAAATTCCCCTCCCTCTCCATAATGAGGATGTAAAAGAAAAGGTAAAGATTAAAGTGATGTTATGAGGGTTTTTCATCCTTGAATGTCCAGTGGAAAGATAAAATAATTGTTTGAATATAAAATGACCTTTATGTGGTCCACTTAAAAATCTTAATTTTTTTGATAAAACATTTTCTTCAGCTTGGCAATGCAGAGAAACTCAGTGCAACTTAACAGTAGAGAAACAAGTGAACTTTGGAGTATGATTGAATTGAAGACTCAACCAAACTTTCCTTTTGAAAAAGAAAGCTTCAAAATATTAAATTCACATGATGAGTTGGCTAAGGCATCTTGTCTGTTTATTACTGAACCAGAAAATTTATAACAACTGTTTGTCATGTGTATATATTTATAGCCATTCATATAGTGAAAAGAAGTTTTCATGAGATTGTAATAACATACCAAGATGGATGTAATTAAAACAGAAGCAGATTGACACCCTGAATTAAATGCAAACCATAAACCAGGATACCTGAGCATTGTGCCATACATATTTGCTGCAGGGGGCAGTCAGCCAAATATGCAAATAAAAAGACATTGATGAATTTCCCTGGGTGTGTATGTGGTTGCAGAGAACCCAACTATTTTATTAATCTTTTATCAAGCATTGTTTAGATTTGCAGCAGCAATGGAATGTATTAATTTTGCAGACCAAATAGCTTAGGACCAGAAAGTAGGAAATAATAAGGGGAAGACATGATTGATATACTGTCCTATAAATAACACATGGACTGACAAAGGGGCTGAGTAATCTTTAGATCTGTGCTTCATGTCATTAATGGAGTTGTTAAGCCAGGATGTTGAGTTGAGCTTCAATCAGAGAGTCTGCCGCACGTATAAAAGGCAGGCCTATGTCTAGTTACACTCTGAACAGATAGGTTGACAAAATTGGTGTAAATTAAATTTTTGTAAATTGGATTAAAACCAGGGGAATCTTACTGAATGAAAAATAAGACCCTTTTATTTTTTTTGGATCAAATACAGAACTCATCTCTGCAGGGAAGCTGAAAGTTTGATAGAGTGGGTCTCTTTAGATGGGCATTGCTTTCACTGAGACACTTTTTCTGCATGTGTTCCCTGTGCTTTTGGAAGACAGTGACTGTGAGATTTGCATTTTCTGTTCAGGTTTCATACCTCACTTGGTCTGTGCTTCCAGGAATAATTGGTGGTGATTTGAATAAGCCCGCATCATTCAGATTTCAGAGGTTGGTTTTCAAGTGCGTGCTAAGGAGGGCTTGCGGCTATGAATATGGAATATGATTTCCATATCTGTTCCATTGGGGAGTCCAAGCATGTCATAACCACTTCAGAGTCATGACTGTATAGAGACACCCTAGCTATAATTTTTCTATATGACAGTTCAGTTTTAAAATTGTGAAGATGCCAAATGTAGGACTGTATTGTTATTAGGGAAGTCCGAGACATCTGTTACATCTTGTTAACCAGGGGAGGAAAATGCTTTAATCAAAACATCTAATTAGGTTCTTTCAACTGATGAAGGATCCTTTGCTAAATTTTTGGAATGGGCCTTAATATAGTAGAAGCTGGCCTCTACAGGAGCTGTGAAGTAAATGTACTCTTTTCATTTTGAAAAATACCCTTAACCGTGATGACATAGGGTGTCTAAATTTTACCAAATTGCTCTTAATGTGGTGTGTTGAAAAGTATATTTTCATAAGTTGTCTAAGCCAGCGTGAAATTTTTGTTTTTGTCCTCTCTCTCAGTCCCATAGCGTATCAGGTCCCAGAGAGAGTTTATATTTCCAGATGTGGGCCTAGGAGGCTGTGTGGTGGCTGAAAGACACCTGGGGAGGGAGCAAATGATAATTACAGGTGAGAGGCAAGGGGATAATTCAGCCCGTGCACTGGGAGGTGCGATTTCACACCTGATTGTTGAAGCCTGCTGCTTCAGACAGTTGTGTTGCTTTAAAATTAGTTTTATTAGTCTATTATAGAAATGGACCAGATTGTTCCAGGTCACCTTCAGTTGAAAGAATATAATGGTTTAAAAATATTGAAGGGTAATGTGATACCAGAAATTTTCCTCTGTTTAAAAGTGGTTTTATGGTTTCAGATAGGGTTTAACATATCTGAAAGTATCATTAAAAAATACATTTAACTTACCATATATATATCCTGCTTCTGTCTCCCTTGGTCACTTTTTAAAAATTGTTAAATATTTTGGTGTTGTAGTCTGCCACTTTGAATTATTTAATCTTCAAAATCTACCCAGGAAACCTATCAGTTTATCTATATTTCAACTCAGAATTTATTTTGTCTGCAGCTGTTCTTTTTCCAGAACTACAGATAATAACTAATAATAGATTTAAATTTATTGATAATCTTAATCCTGGGATATGGATTGGGTCAGAGAAGTGCTTGTTTCTTAGCTTTGAGAGTATTTTATCTTTCTGAATGATTTTCCCATGGATTGAGATCTTGGGGCCAGCCTAAAGGAATTTTTGAAGTGACATGACACAATGTACTCTGTGTTTTATTGGTGGGAAGTTCCAATGCTATTAATTTTTTCTTGGTCTGCTTTATGCTGTGTAGCAGCTTATTGTGTGTCACTTGGGAGTGTGACTGTAACCTTGGAAAGGAAGGAGCTAATGTTTTATTCCTTTATTTCTAATTTGTTGTTTTACTTTATTCTGTACTTTAGCCTTTCCCTATACATAGGTACTTTTCCTGTACACACCCTTTTTTGGGATATTTGAGGCTCTCAGAGTTGCTATTTCCTTTCCTCACTAATCCATGTATTGTGATACTCAAAGTTTGACCCATTTCCACAAAAATTCCATGAAAGAAATTTTTGAAAAGAGAGTCACTATTTATTGAGTACTTAATCTGTGCCAGACATTGTGCTCAGAAATTTGCATTCATTGTCTTCTTTGAGCAACTCTGAATAAAAAATGACTGCTTCTTGTTTGAGAGTTGAAAAAACTGAAGCTCAGAGAAATAAAGTGAACTTGCCTAAGGTCAGTACAAAAAAGGCAGCAAATGCAGTAGTGTCTGCCTTACCTGAAAGCTTGTACTCTTCACCCCTTTTTGCTCTTCTTTTTAATACAGATTTACTTTGTGTGAGAGTCCCACATGGGTCTCTGGTAGACCACATTTGTTCCTAGTTGCTGTTTAAAATGGTCTTAATTATGTAGGATTTTTTAGGTAAAATAGTAGGATTTAGGCAGTAGAGAGCACCTCACCATTTTGGTGGGAAGTTTTGTATATTTTTCTTGAAAGCTGGCGCTTAAGGTAGGTGTCTGCCATTCACACAGTACGTCTGTAACCTGTTTGTCGTTGCTTTCTATCTCTTTCACTGTTTCCCTTTGCATCCAAATCCGATCTTTTCCCAGGCTTCAGTGCAGAGGTAGATTTTAAGTCTTTACCAGAAGGAAAGGTACAGGCTCATGCTGTTTAGGGCTGCTGTATGCCAGTTCCCATGCCACACCCTTTCACATCATTACCTCACTGATTTCTTACAATGCTGCCCTGGAAGAAAAATATAAAACTGGAGAAGGGACTGGTGCCCTCTCAACAGGTCACTGGGTATAAGCTTATTTTCTACTATAAATCCCTAAGTATTTTGTCTCTTCTGGTATTAAACTATTCTAGGAAGTGGCATTCCTCTTGGCAATATATTCTGCACTAAAATCTATTGCTGGTGCTAGGTTTTTGTTTTTAATGAATTGGTCCTCCAGTCTTCATGGTGAAAGATCATACTAAATAATTCTTTGCTTTCCTTGATCTCTATAGCTTGAAGATACCTACTGACAAATAGTCCATTATTTCCTGTCATTGTTTCCTCTCATTATTCTAAGCACATTTGCAAATTATTCTCCCGCATTCTCCACTCCACCCTGTAGAGATTTGTTTATGCTACAAAGAGTATGCTAATGAATGTGACTGTTAGATTTGCTTCTTATGGAAATCCTGTGATTTAGAGTAACCTACATTCTTGAGAAACCCCCTCCTCAGCTTCTCTGGGCCAAATGGGCTTGTGCAAGGTTCATACTCTAGGACTTCAGAATTCAGATATGAGTGTTAGCTGAGGGGTGGTGTAACCTCCCTTTCTCTCTCCTTCCTCCTTCCCCTGATGTACACACACACACACACACACACACACACACACACACACACACGGGGGGGGATAGAGAGAGAGAGAGGGGGGTGGGGGAAAAGAAAGGGAGAGAGAAAACACCTTCATTGGGTTTGAGGTTTCAAACATTATTTCTAGGTGACTGTGAAGATCAGTCAAGTTAAACACTTCTCTGAAAAGTCTCTTTTTGAAGACAGGTTGATAGCTTGTTCATGGAACTGCCATGCTCTGAAGCATGCAGTCTTGCACCTCTATCCAGCTACTTCAGTGAGCTCAATTATCCTTTTGCGTATTGAAAAAGGAAATATCGCGGAGTTCTGTTTTTAATCGAGTTTGTGATGCTAGGGGAGACCCAAGTCAAACCTTTGCCTTTGATGTTTAACTATAGCTATAAAATCTAGTGTAATAAAACCACACCTTTAAGTTCAGGGTTTTAAAAGTGACCTCTTATACCTGAATTTTTTTATATTTGTAAAATACCAGTTCTGTATTACCTCAGCTGGTCTCAGATTGTAAACACTTGGGTAGGAAGTGTATATTTAAAAATCTTTCCTCTGTTCTTCCTCGTCCCTCTGGTGCTGTGATGATTTCAGTTAAGGAAACATACGAAGATGGCCTGGCAGTGATGGTGTCAATTTTGTGTTAAGTCACTGGATACCCTCTGTTTACTATTTACAGATGAACATTACTTTAGTATTCTTGTTGTAGATTTCCACATCTGCTGCCCATATTTCATCTGTGCTCTTGTTTCATTTAGTATGGTGTACCTGGGATTAAGGACAGAGAAATATGTATGCTCAGGCTGATTTGGAAATTACATTGTTGAAATACAGCCCATATGGCCATTGTAAAATGGTTAGCACTGCATATAATTGCCTTCCCAATGATGTGCTTTGTCATTACTTCCATCTTCCAAGAAGCACTCCTGCACTGTGCTGACAGCAGTGGCATCATCAGAAAACATACAGACATGCAAAGGCATTAAATTGTTTTTACTTTAAGGGTTAGATTACAGTGTTAGGGGATGGGTCACCACACTTTCAATCGATAACTCTTGCTTAATTCAGCAAGACTTACAGACGATATAGATTTGCAGAGGTCCTGTTTATTTGTTTGCTGAGTACACTTCATCTCTTCCCTTCAATTGTGAGGAGTTCTTTTAGCTGTGCATGAGACCTCATCACAATATAGTAGTTAGCTGGCTTCTCTGGAGAGAGTTTCTTCTAACTTTTCAAGCCTCTTGCAGAGTTATTTTCTAGGATATTCCCTCAGCCTCAGTTTTCCTGAATGTAAGCCCAAAGTAGGCTAAGCAAGGGGATCATTTAGATGTAAAAAGATCCTAAGTAGTAGAGTCAAGAAGTCACCAAGTGACTGCCAAGTTGACCAGATTTATATTTTGTGTTGGATCTGTCTCTAGGAGTTTCCCATACTTTATCCTTGCTCCCTTTGAAGCATTGAGAGTTTTATAATTTAAAGGCTCAGTGGTAGCTCCCAGAGGCTCCTGGGCCGTGTTACAAGGCATGGAAAGAAAACCCCCAGGCCCCCACATCTACAACTGCTATTTAAAGATACTTTTGGGATGCAACAGTATTGGGGGATTGCATGCTTTGAATTTCAGGGCCCTTTTTGTAGCTGCCATTGAATAGTAAGTGAACTCACAGAATGGAAAGTCATTCATCAAATATAATGTATCTCCTTGGATCTAAAAGAAATAATGAGAACTTGGAGGTTTTCTGAGCAATAAATGACTTTGGAGATCATTGGGAAGTGGTGTGGGCCACCTCAGGGGACAATGGGTCAGTTGAGGAAGACCCTGACCTCGTGTCAGCCAGCACTCCACCATTACCTCTTTTATGTATTAGGGTAAGATTCTTTGGGAAGAAAAAGGTCTCTGGATTCTTTTTTAATCTTTTATTCAAGAAATATTTATCAATAGCTTTTCTGTGCCAGGCAGACCCTGTTCGAGGCAGAGGGGTGTGTTGTAGTAAGAGAAATAGATACCTGCTCCAGTGGAATATATATTCTATCAGGAGTGGGGGAGGCACAGTCAAATCCATACTGTTTCAGGTGATGAGGGGTTTTCAAGGTGGGGTGAAGATATCACAGCAAGAATCTAGTATGTGTATGCGTATGTGCAATTTTATAGGATGTGACCTAGGTGAGGGTTTTTGAGGAGGTGATATTTGAACAGAAATGTGAAAGTAGTGAGGGAGCAAGCAATGTAGAGAGTCACAGTGTAGGGTAAGGGAAAAATGTCAGGCTTTTCTGCCCTCCCGCCATCAGGATAGATGATGGATCCTTGCGGTCCTGAACGCATACCTGATGGCGGGCACCTGGAGTAGGATGTAGGCATAGGTAGATGGGATTCACCTGGGCTAAAACTGCACTTTTAAGGGCGGCGTCACAGGGACGCCAGCAGAAGCTGAAAGAGAAGCCGAGAAAGAAGCAGAAGAAGCTGAGAGAGAAGCAGAGATCACCGGAGAGCCCAGATAGAGTGAGGATTTGCTGGGGGTTGGGAGGACTGCCAGCCTCCCGGCCCCCCAGCACCCCTGCCTGCTGTGTACCGGGTAAATCCCAATAAAAACCTGCAAAAGCCACTGAGGACTCTGATCCTCCTTTACCCGGTCTGCTGGATCAGAAAACTTGCTCTGTGTCCATTCCTGACCTTACACACAGGCAGAGCATTCAAGTGATGAATGAGCAAATGTGAAGTCTTTGAGGAGGGAGAGGCTTGGCAATGTGATTAGCTGTAAGAGGACATGTTGACTAGAATGGAGCCAGTGAGGAGGAGAAGCAGAGATGAAGTAGGAACGTATAGAAACTTTGACTTTCAAACCCCTGTAATTTTGAGCTGCTTAAAAAAACAAACAGCTGAAAACAACTTTCCAAAGCCTTCATTTCCCAACTGAAAGTCTTTGAACTTCCCCCAAATCACCCAGCTGATGTTAAAACAAGACCAGACCTAGAACTCACTGTTACTTTCCTTTATGGGAGCTTCTTAGTGTACCTCGGTTCCACCATTCTAGGCCTTTGTGCCCTGGGCGTCTTTTTTTTTTGGGAATCAGATTTGTGTCTTCTCTTCTGTATATAGGTATGATTCTCCCAAAGGACATGCTTCAAGAATGTGTAGAATTCCAGTTCCCCTGAACCACAACTTGAGGAATAGCTTTGTGATTAAGTGATAAAACTCACTGCTCTTTGGGTGATAATTTTAAAAACAACAACCATGATCATGACTGACATTTATCAAGGGCCCACTGCATGTGATAGTCATGTACTGAGAATAGTCTCATATTTAGCCCGGAAAGGTAGAGAATATTCTTACTCTCATTTTAGAGATGAGGAAACAGGTTCAGAGAATTTTAGTCACTTCCCCATTGTCATGTAGCTCAAAAGTAAGAGTCAGAACTTGAGCCCAGGCTGGCTGATTCCAGGCCCTGTATTGCTTCCCAGAAGAGGGGGATGGACTTGCCTCTGGAAATATATGCTCTCTACAGCATCCCATTGTGAGATGTATCTGTAGCTGAGCCCTGGGAGTTAAGACTGACTGGTCACCGAGCACATCTACATCTGCAAATGCTTGATTTTGTAGAGGATCTTACAGCTAGTGTGGCACAGTCCTTGCAATGACGTGCATTTTAGGTGGATTTCTGGTTAAGCTGATATCTTTCGGTCTTTTTGAACTGAGTTTGACTAGAGCATTTTTAAAGATCTGTACTGTGAAGTGTATTATAGGACCTAGGCCAGCCTTTTCAACTCATTGGCTCCAATTGAATTTGTTTTCATTCCTTCCCTGCCTCTGTGAAGTAGAAGTCCCAGATACCACCAGTCCCTATTACTCCTTAGGATTTATCAAATCATCTTTTAATATTAGTGCTTTTGAGGACCAATATATGGGGAGCCTACTTTAAAATACGTTTGTGTAAGATTTTTTTGTATATGTATATGTAGGACTATGAAGTATTTTATAATATGAAATAAAATAAAGCATAACATAATCAACACTGAGAACACACCACCAGCTTGAACAAACATTAGTATGTCACCATACTTTTCTTTACATACTATTTTGAGCATGTACTGTCAGAGCAGGAAGCAAGTCAACTGTAAGCTTTAGAGCAGGAGACTTCTCAAACCTGGCTGCACATCAGAATCCCCTGAGAGCTTTAAAAAAAGTCCCCATACCCATGGGAGGGAGCCCTTGTCCATCATCAGAACTTTTAAAAGTGTCCCAGGGGATTCTGTTATGCAGTGAGGGTTGAGAGCCTCTATAGGAAGGAGGGTGTGTCACTCCTCTAGTGTTTCTTCACTGTTTCTCAAAAAAAAAAAATTTCAATTTTTTTTAAACATGCTCTGCTCTTCAAGATGCTGAAGGGTGATGTCTTGGAGTGCTCCCCTCATGCTGTCTTCCGACTCCCTTTACATATGTGTTGTAAAACATTTTAGAGATCAGGAACAGAATAGGGCATCAGATGGGGGGACTGAGAAAGTCAGAAGTGTTGGAAGCCACTGTCTGGGGTGAAATGACAGTTATTATAAAATTACCTTAGAAGTCACTGGGGACATAGGGCTTCATTTAAAAAACTCACGGTCATCGCATCTTAATAGGCAGGCTCTGAGCTGTCTGATGACTTTTTGGCCTGAGTCAGCTTTATCAGTAGGATGTATGGTAAGTTGTGCCCTGCTATCAGAGTGGCCAGTTTCTGTGGATGCATCTGAGATATCAGATGCACTGTCAGTTGTCAGTTATATGGGGACCTAGTTACCTTTTGTGGGCCCATGCCCCTTCCAGCCACTTATCCATTCAATAAATGGTCACTGAGTTTCTCCTCTGTGTCAGCCACTGTTCTAGGCACAGGGGGTAAACAGTATGGCATGGGGGGAGGGGATGTATGGGGTATTACATTCTGGTGTTTTGTCTAACAGAAAAACGGTGTGGTAGAACTGTAATACTCCCTTAGAAAAAAACTCCAGGGGAACCATTTGACATGTAGGGAGTATTTTTTTTTTTTTTTGCCTAATTTGGCTTAAATTGAGTTTTTTGATTATAAAGATTTCGATTACAAATGCTTCCACAAATGTATTTCTTCAAGAAGTTAAACACTGGGACATTAAAATTTGCAGGGACTTTTGGAGTCAGTTAAATTTTATTAACAGCTTAACATAATTAGAGTGAAATAGATGTACAGCTTAAGATAAAAGTTAAGGAAGATGCTGCAGAAATAGTGATACTTATATTCTCTTTTGTATCTTCAGATAGAATTCCCTTATCCACCTATGTGTTCACAAATTGAGGGAAAGGAAGGCAGAAAAGAAAATTTTATGCCCAGGTGCCTGTACTAGGCTGAACTATCAGAACTTTGTGAAGACTTTAAGTGAAGCTTAGATCTGTCCAGTCTCAATTGCAGCCAGGGACTTGGGCACCCTTTGGATCCCTGAATAGAGGGAATGCACTGGGTATGATGTTGGGGGTTAGTCAGTAGTCAGTGAAACATGAGAAGAAAATGGGAAATTTGAGGGAAGAGTCCTGAAAAAGAAATCTGACAGCTTTGGGTTTAGTGGAGGAAGAAAATAGTGGTAGATAGGATTTCCTTGCTGCCTCATCATCTTCATCAGATATAGTTTTTGACTTAAAGAGGGGGATAATCTCATCATGTGAAGAACTCTTTATGTGTGAGTGCTTTAAAAAGATCCATCTAAAATGATAATTTTAAAAAAGCAAGTCTATGCTGTTTTCTCAGCTTTTGAATTGCCAAAGTAGGCTTTGACTTAAGTGTGTGAAAGGGTGGGTGGGAAATGAGATTTTTTTTTTTTGTTATTGTTGTACAAGGGAGGAAAACACTTTCTTTGGTGAATTTAGAAATCTCTGGTTCCCTGGCACTGTGTTTCCATGCAGAGGAACAGAGAGTCTAATACTTGGTTAACTGCTCAAATCAACAAGTTTGGGAAGCACTGAGGGTTTGTGGAAGTAAAGATTGCACTATAACTCGTGTAGAGAGGCAGGATGCTTTTGTTTATCTTTCGATTAGAAACAACATGAAAATACTTGTCAATTTTGTCTCTACTATCAACTCATGGCTATGATTCAATAATCATACCGAGGACTAGCATTCATTGAATGCTTGTTTTGTGCTAGATGTTACTTAATTGCCTAAATCAACTCATGTAATCCTGTACAGTGGTCCTATGAGGTGTAAGTACTGCCAGGATCACTATTTTATAGGAGAGGAAACAGCTACAGAGTTTATGCCCAAGGCCAACACACAGTGTTATTAACAGGGGAGGCCATACTTTGTAGTATTGATAAGAGCCTGACTTGAATCACTTGGCATCAGAGAACAAAATAAATGCTTTTAAAGAAGTTTTTCCTGATACTGGTTTTTTTTTAAATAAAGATTTATTTTTTTATTTATGCAAGAGCTGGGTTACAGGCCAGCAGCGTGGGAGGGTGAGAGGATTCACCGGAGACAGAGTGGGGAGCGGAACAGGCAGAAGGACTGAAAGCACTGCTGAGGGGGAGCAGCATGGCGACAGGAGTGGTCTGCCATGCCATATGGGAATCTCCCTGGCTGGCCGGGAATCAAACCTGCACTGCAGAGGCTGCGTGCAGACAGCTTCACAGCACTGCGCTCAACCTGCTGTGCCACTGGGGAGGCCCGATACTTTTTTTTTTTTTTTAAGAATTATTTATTTATACAAGAGCTGGGGTACAGGCCAGATGTGCAGGAGGGTGAGAGGATTCACCAGAGACAGAGCAGGGAACAGAACAGGCAGACCGACGGAAATACACTGCTGAGGGCCGTAGCAGGTGAGACATGAGAGGTTGGCGGTGCCATGTGGGCTTCTCTGCGCCCCTTGGGGATGGAACCAGCACAGCAGAGGCTGCGGACAACTTCACAGCCCTGTGCTCAACCGCCTGCGCCACCAGGGAGGCCCTCCTGATACTGTTTTAATGGGGTTTTTGACCTTTCCTCTTCCCTCTTTTATGAATGTTTTCAGAGGTGGTAATGCACCTTAGATTGCCACCTTATTATAGATGAGAACACAGATCTAGAAAATTATGTAACTGTTCTGTATGACCTAGTGGGTGAGTGGTAGGACAGGGCTGTGGAACCAAGATTTCCTCATATATAGGTCACTGCTTTTCCCACTGCTCTGTGTTGCTTCCATTAATATTTTTTTAACTGAGCTAAACATTTATAAATTTAATTTGTGTCACTCCTGTGGATGAACTAAATTAAAATAGCTAGATACGGCTTGATTTTGCCCTAGGGAGGAGGGTGGTAGGCATTTTAGAAACTAACATTTGTCCCTGGGGTTATCTGACCTACTCTTGAGGATGTCTTTCTAGTCTTTGGGAGGCTTACTTAAAAGAGGAAAGTATTTAGAGGAAATATTATAGGAGAGGTATCTTTAGACTTGAGTTTAGTAGGAGCTGAGGACTCATGGAAGGTGTTTGGTTTTTCTTTTTTTAGATTTAAATTAGTGTATCCATTTGAGGCTAAAGTAAAAAAGACCTAAATGGGAGAAAGGTACCTCAATGTAAGCCTTCTTTAGCTGCATTTTCATGTCTCACAAATAAGGCTTTTAAAAAGGTGGGAAAAACCATCTTGATTCTTGGGGTTTGGCTTTTTTTGTTTGTTTTTTCTTTTGGTTTTGATTCCTTTTGTTGTAACCCCTTTCCTAGGCTAATGCTTTGTTTAAAAACAAGTGCTCTGGTATTCTAAAACAAATTATCCAGCAGGCTCCCTGATTGTGCTCTCAGATAAAAGGCCTGGGGGCAGTGCTTTTTCTGTCTTTGAATTGTGGTAGCCTATGCATGCCCAGACCAAAATTCAGTTGGCTGTGGAGCTTCCAAACCAGATTAAGGTGGTTATCTAAAAGGAGAATACGAATTTGAAAGGGGGAATGTGGATTGGATTCAGCCTGGTCTGTAAGTGGTGTTAGGAACCTGGGCTCCTGCTATTCTTTGCATTTTTAGGCAAAGGACTTCCATAGTGTCATTAACCTCTGGATCTAAACTCTTAGGGACACAGTCATGATAATGAGAATTAGGGGCAGGATCCTCAACTGTGTGGTGGAAAAGTACATGCTCAGATTCTTCCTGTGACCCCAAATCCCATGTGGCCAAAGAGGAGTAATTTGATTTCAGTTTCTGTTCTTATATTTGCAGGATGAGGTTCCCAGGAGGAGTGACTTCGTGATTGTAACATATCAGCTTCCTTTTAGGGGTGATATAATTGTGAGACAATTATTCATCAAAGTTTTAGTCGTGTGTGACACACATGTACATATACACACATGTACACTCTCTCCTATGTGTTAGGGGAGAGTGCACCTTTCACTTATTAAAGCTTCTGCAAAACGTTTCCAAAATAACTACACTTTTTCAGCCCGGATTAGGTGATTTCAGATTGTTTGGACTCTCAAATTTTTCTTGCATTGTGCAGTGGTTTCCAAATCCTGGGTTGTATGTTAGCCTCTCCAGGGTAGCTTTTAACTATGCAGATTCCTGGGCCCTGTCCCTGTTGGACTAAAAATTAGTTCTGCTGTGTGACTGTTATTATTTGTTTTATCAATAGGATCCCCAGGAGTTCTTTTATGACAAGTTTTTTTTTTTTTTGTACACAGATTTTAGAATCATTTTTTTAGAAAATGTTATTTGAGTCTTCTTTGGGTGGCAGTAACGGTGATTGGTGATTTTAAATAATTTCTATGCTGCCAAACTTTATGAAAATTAAAGATGTAATGTATATTTGGTTTTAAAACCTTGCAAATTGAGAAGTAGAACACATCCCCAAATTAGTGTATCGTATAACTGAGTTATCATAAACTGAGCACCAAAGTAACCAGGACCTAGGTAAGAAATAGAAAACTGCAAAAACAGCAACAGCAACAACAAAAAAAAAACACCCGAGGGTTTTTTCCATAGATTTATTGTTCCACTCCTGCTTCTCAATTCCCAAGAAATTAGGAATATAAGTAAAAGTTGATAAAACAGTATACGAGACAAGACTTCTGCCTTTCTGTACTAGGTGCTTCTTAATCCTTCATTTCTGTAAGTTTTTGGTGATACTAAGTTTGTGTTGCTCAGTTTTGTTTTGCTTCAACCTTAAGCCTGTTCATGACAGTGACTAGTAATGTTCACGACATATGTCAAGATTAACCTCTAAGAGTTGTCTTTTCTGAAATCTAATTCATTGAAAATATTTTCATAAAAGTTTTGAAAAATGTTTAAGGACAAGTAACCAGCCTTGTCAGTTATGACTCCGGTCAACAATCCATTTGTCATCACTGCCAGGTAGCCTAGCAAGCATGACTTAGTAGTCACCTGTCTTTATCTTGGCACACGTGCAAAGGTGGCTTCTTGATAACTATGAGAAGTTTCCCCCTCCTCTCTGTCAACCTCAGAATAGTCTCTCCTTTTGATTCTATTCAGAGCATTTAAAGTTAGAGGGAATGAAGTTTCCTTAGGGGTTTCTTCTTTTTCCTTTTTTTCTTTCGACACTTGAAGAGTCATTTGGGTCTTAGTGGGAGAAGTTCTGACTGTATTAAATGGGAGGCCTGCTTGTTTTCTTTGGAAGGGCATGCGCCAAGTGAAGGGACCTAGAGCAAGCCTTGCGCCTGAGCCATTCCTGTGGAGGGAGAGAGCTGTCCTTGGCCTCGGGCTGTAGTGACTAATAATTATGTGCCAGCATCAGCACATCTGTACTTCCTTGACAGGCACCGGGGGCTTTCTGGATGCAAGAGCTGCTCCCCCTTCCCCAGTCTCACACTCCCCCATCTTGGTTATCTCCAGTATCAACTAAACAGGTGACAAGACTCCAATCACCCTGCTCTGAATGGCTTTCTATCTTTACAAAAGTACACCAGAGGCTTGTTTTGTTACAGTACATTGATTAAATAAATATTCCTACATGCACAAAGGAACTGAAATCTGTTATGGTACTCAGCAGTTATCTGTCCATTAGTAGCAAAGAACTACTGCCTGCCTTCTCCCCTCCCCCCACTTATCCTTTCCATCACACACATTCTCAGAGGTGCAAATAATGTAAGTTCTCTGACCTGCTTTCAAATGCCTGTGAAGCAGGGGTGGGGGGTGGGCGGCACTGTTATGTATGCACTTTGGTGTGGCATGAGATTGGGGCAGTGTCCAAGGTGCCTGGATCATAGGAGAGCTTGTGTGGTTTTGAATAGAGATTCTTTCGTGCTTTGGGGGTTGTTGAGCCTTATCTCTCCCCTTAAGCAAAAGTGCATTCAGGAAGATTTTTCAAATTAGCTTGCCTCTTCTACAGAAAGGGTGCTTCTGGTGTTGAAGTCACTGTTTGTCTGATGTCACTTTTGGAAGCTACAGAGCCTTTGTGAGACTTGATCCTGTAATGTTTACTTATTTACAAGTTCCTTTCCAATTGTGGTAGCCAGAGAGACCCTCACCTTTTGGAGGGCGGGGGTTGGAGGAAGGCTAGTTAAGATGAATAAATGTGGATTAAAAAACATGACTGATTTAGGAAGTATTATTTGTAGTCCTTTTTGTGCAAGCTGTTAAGCACCTCAGTAATAAGGAATGATTGTGAAATGACCAACACTTTCTTTTCATGCAAAGTATTAAAAAAAGGGGTCCAGTTCATGAGGAGCTGGAAGGAAGAAGAGGAGACTGGAACGTAAGAAATTAAGCTTTTGGAGAGGACACAAAGAAGTGTCATGTGATGAGAAGTGTGACCAAAGGGAGGTGTTGAAATGTTAGCAACTCCTAACATCCACTACTCAGAAGAGCCCCATGTGACAGAAGTGAAATGGATGCCCTTGAGTAGCTGTGACATCAAAATAATTGCCAGAAAACTTGTAGCTGCTTGGATGGCAGACATGTAAGTAGGGGAAACTGTTGGAGAAGGCAAAGTGAAATCTCTTAGTGTGTGTCTCTTCCAACTGACTGTGGGTAATTAGTTGGAAATGACATTAACCTGAGCTTAATTGTAATTTTGCATCGTAACAACATACCAGCTGTTCACTGTATTCTTTCCTGGTGGTGCGATTTAATTATTTTTTGCTATCTTTTAAGCTCTAATTTTCTGTTATGTTTTCCTTTAAGCCCTCCTTGCTGCCATGTCCACAGCCCCCACAGTTTAGCAGTGGTGTCATTTCTGCTGCTTCGGTGCCTGTTCCATGCTGAAGACTTGGGGGTACACTTGGTGTTTGCTAATCAGTTGGCTTCTTAAAAGACCACATTGGAAAGTTACCAAGATGATAGGAGTGATTGGAAACCTTGTTGTGTTTTGGGCTCCTCCAGAAGGTTTTAGCTTTTGGTATAAATAATATGGATAATTCCAGGTCTATCAAAATATCAAGTGAACACGCTGAAAGAGAAGTTAATTACTGAACAGTGATTGCTCTGATATAACCAATTATTGGATCATTAAATGTTTATTACCTTTTATATGCTTCTTTTCCCCCATAAGGGCAGTTTCTTTTTTAAGTCATTAAAACAGAAATGGGATTTAAAAAAAAATTCTGCTTAAAAAAATTTGCACAAGACTGAAGTATTAAAAAGGTCTTGTGTGATCTGACAGCTGAATAGCCTGTTTTTCTCTGGTCTGTTGAATAAGTAATTAATGAAATGTATTGCCTGAGCAGAGAAAATAAGATTAGTTTTGCTGAGAAAGAAAACAAAAGCAAAATATTAACCCCTAAATGCAGGTGAATATGAAAGCGAGCATAAGTATACAAGAGTGGAGTCTTTGAATGGTAACATGCTCAGTGGTAAATTCTACTTTAATTCATCGAGCACCAACATTATATTTAGAAGGAGTGGGGTTATATAAATACTGAGAAGGCAAGGGATTCTGTCTTCATAGAGACTCTGTGTTGGCAGAGCAGTTAAACTAGATACTTTAGGACCGTTATTGCCGTGTCGGTTCTGTGATAGTATAAACAGGCGCATGTGCATTTCTGTGGGGCAGGGATAGTAGTTATGAAGAGAGAATTTACATTTGCAGGTGTGGGTATCCTGTAGATTAAGAATAGGAGGAGTATAATTGGGAAGAGAATCTTGCTTTTGGAGGTCCTGGTGTCATTTGGATTAACAGCAGGCTCCCGGGAGCCTCATTAACTTGGTTTCACATTTCAGCTTTGCCTCTTATTCACTTTATGGCCACTTACCTTAGTGTCCTCATCTGTATAATGGAAAAATAGTAGTGAGGGTTGTTGTGAGGATTAAATGAGTTATTAAGTGATTATGACAGTGTGAACAGTCCTAAGTGTTGGTGTCATTTTTGTGGGATAATGCAACTGGGAATTCTTTCTTAGGGGAAATGGTAATTTAATTGGATGCTGAGGAACAGAAAGATGTTTCAGGCATTTCTTGTATTGTCATGTGTAACCACATACTTAATTTATAATGCCTACAGTAATGTGTGCTTATGTAGCACCATTGTCAAAAGATTACAAAGGGCATTTACAGCTGTTTTTTTTTTTCTCAGAACAGTCCTCTGAAGCAAGAAGACTGTTTATGCACATTCTCCGAGGTGTGAAAGGCTGCAGAGCTCAGCACTGCCAGAGATGCTCTTTAATTGAGGTGTGCTCTGAGCCTGCCTTATTGTGGGTAAATGAGGCCGGTGGAGAGAGCCAACTTTTAAATCTTTTTAATTTTATTTTTGATTCTTAGTTTAAAAAATTGAATGAGAATGACTATGTTGTAAATAAATTATTAAGATGTTTTCTATAGTGTTAGGAATAAAACGAATTGCACTATTGCTAAGCTCCAGATGATACAGTTGAATTTAGAGGAAGTGTATGATAATGGTGGTAATAAGGAATACTTGTTGAGCACTTGCTAGGTTTTTCACCTACTGTTAATTGTCATGAATCTGAATTGTCACTCTTATTATCCCCCTCTTATTTTAGTGTTGAGGAAACCAAGGCACTGAGGTGTTTGATCAGACACATAGCAGTGCAGATCTAGGGCTTAAGCTTTTAATTGAATTTTCTTTAAGTTTATATAAACCATTTTATTTTGATTTGTGTGTTTTTATAGCAACCTTTTGAGAGAGGTCGATTATCTCATTTTATAGGGAGAGAGAGAAGTAGTATCAGGGAAGTTAATGGGGCATCATGGTGAGTTTAATTTAGATTAAAATTTTGAGGTGGTTATTTTATGCTCTTTCTCTACTTTTCCTTCTGGCCCTTGGGATCCATAAAATGAGAAAATGATATTCTGTTCCACGAACTCACAATGTTAGAGTTTGGTGCCAATAATAGGCAAGATCCTTATTCATTGATGTAAACCCAGGGTCACATGAACTCCAGCCTCCTGCCTCCTTGGGCCCTAGTTCTCTCTGGCACACATGCCAAGTTGCTGGGATGAAGATGTGATTGTAATGAGATGTGCCTTGACTTCTCAACAGAAACTACAGTCTGATTCTTTCTCTAGACTCATCAGGTTGCCATCTATGTGAAATGTGATGGCTCCAGGAAGGATTTTGTTGTTTTCATGAAGTGATTTTCCTGAAATAACCACAGACAGTAGACTGTGAGCTTATGAGGACAGAGGACCTGCTGACTGCGGTTTGTGCTATGCAAGGGCTGGGTGACCTGGCTCATGGTCCAGCATCACTTATTGTGTGAAAGGAGAAATGAACAATCTAATTGAACTGTAAAAAATAGGAATGAGAAAGGGAATAGGAATCTTAAAATTCCAGTCTTATAGGAAGAGGAAATTGAGGCAACTCATCAGGTAGGTTAGGAGCTCAGTTTCTTTTTCTTTTTTTAAAAAAGATTTATTTATGGATACAAGAAATGGGCTGTAGGTCAGAGGTTTGGGTTGTGAGAGGATTCACTGGAAACAGAGAAGGGAGCAAAACAGGTGGATCTGCTGAAATAAGCTGCTGAGAGGAGCAGCAGGTCAGACAGGAGAGGTCTGCTGCACTACGTGGGTTATCTCCTTGGTCTGGGATCGAACTCATGTTGCAGTGGCTGGAGCTAGCTTGATAGTGCTATGTCTTTAACCCCTGCGTCTCCAGGGAGGCCAAGAGCCCAGTTTCTTAATCACCATGTCTTTTAAACTGGGTATAAGGGCAGGAAGGACCACTAAACAGGTTTTCTGATCCAGCAGACCCGGTAAAGGAGGACTCAGAGTCCTCAGTGGTTTTTGCAGATTTTTTTTTTTATTGGGATTTACCCAGTACACAGCAGCCAGGGGGTCTGGGGGGCTGGGAGGCTGGAAGGCCTCCCAACGCCCAGCAAATCCTCACTCTATCTGGGCTCTCCGGTGATCTCTGCTTCTGCTTCTCTTGCTTCTCTCTCGGCTTCTGCTCGACTTCTACTACTTCTTTCTCGGCTTCTCTTTGGCTTCTACTGGCGTCCCTGTGACGCCGCCCTTAAAAGCACAGTCTTAGCCCAAGTGAATCCCATCTACCTATGCCCACACTAAAACCAGGTGCCTGCCATCAGGCATACATTCAGGACCACAAGGATCCATCATCTATCCTGATGGTGGGAAGGCAGAAAAGCCTGACATTTTTCCTTACCCTACACTGGGCATAACTTATACCCTTGAAGGTGTGTTTATTGTGAAACGAAATTTTATCCAGGTCAAGAATGTGTTCTAAATTAGAGCATATTCATTTGTTTTGTGGTTGGAGTATGTGGAGTCAACTTGTCAGGAAGGTTAGCAAAGCTGCGCTTCTAATGATGTGGAGAACTCACTGGCAGCTGTGCTAAACCTCTTGCTGTAAACTAGCCTCCAGTAAATGTCTGGTTATGAATCACAGTGTGGCCTTTCAGGGAAAACAAAACAAACAAACCACCAAAAACCCTAATCAGATTTTTTGTAGTATCAGGATTATAAACTCTGGCATTTAACAGTTTGTCAGTTCCCCTCCCCCGCCAGCTGTTGAGCCACCTCTCCATATTTATGTTTGTGTATCACATGGGTGTGCATATCTTGAACAAGGTAGGAGAAAAGAATGAGTTTTTTTTTTTTTTTCACTGAGTTACGGTACATTGGTGGTTTCCTAATCACTGTGGAATTTTATAGAAATACCACTAAGACCTATTAAATCTGACTCTCAGAGGGTGGGACCCAGGAATCTTCCCTGAAGAGCACCCTGAGTGACTCTATAAATAATCAGATTTGGAAACCATGAAGAGAGAGAACTAGAATGCTGTGTTTTCATCTATCCATTCTTATCCATTCATTCTTGTCTTGAGAAGATGAAAATGGATTCCTTGCACAGCCATGGTCATTTTACTGGGCAGCAAAACCAACATTAGCACACAATCCTTGCCCTACAGGGTTCACAGTCTGGCTTTAGAGTTTCTAACTTTGGGCTGAGCTCAGGATTCAGACTTCCCAAAAGTCATGCGCAAAAGGTTTTGTATACGCACGTTTTTCTTGCTTTCATCAGATTCTCTAAGGGGTCAGTGACCCATAAAAGGTTAAGAACCAAGGTCTAGCACTTGTACAGCTGTTCTGAAAACAGTGGGAGCGGGCATTGCTTCTGTTGCCACCTAGGATGCTTTTGACCTTTTGAGAGGCAATATAGCAGTTTGACAATCACACCTGTTTTCCACACCATTTAAAATATTTAAAAAGAAGAGGAAACAGTGTAACACCTGGCTCTGCCTCATGGTCGGAACAAGATCCAGGGATATAGAAAATCACTCTTTGGTGAGCTGTATCACATTTAATGAAAGGAACTGCTGACAATCGAACAGCCCAGTGGTCAGTCTGATGGAAGAATCTTAACTACGATAACATAGGCAAGGTCCACTCCAGTTTACTTACAGTATATAATTAGAGGAAATATAGATGACAATTTTCACTCCATGTATAGACATGAAGACTAATTATCTTATTTTTGTTGCATTTTGTCCCCAGCATGTCCATTGAATTGCTTAATTCCAAAATAATTTTACCAGCGGTATATTTGGCTCATCCTTTCTTACCTCGTAAAATCCCCAAGTAACACTGTTTACCACAAAACAAAATTAGCTGTTAGAGAGGTCCATCTTGACTGCTGCAGAAAGTTTACTTAGCATAATACTAGAGCCTCACATGTATAATATTCTTATCCCTGAGAATAACTTTGTAATTCAATTTTAATTAAGGCTCAGCTCTTTGATTTTTTTTTTTTTTGGTGACTTCATTTGTTCCTCTGTGGAACAAAAAATTTTCAAATATTATAGCTCTGGTAATGCTACATTTTAGGGTTGGATAGATTGAAGAGGACAGTGGAATTATGAATGGCAGAGAGTGGTAAAACATTTTGACCATTTATTTGGGTATAATTCCTTTGGGGCTAGAAGTCCTGTTTTACTGAAGTCTTGAAAGTTCTTACTAGGCCATACAAATGTCTCTATCACTTATTTTGAACTACTTTGCATTATTTTTTTTAAAGTAAATACTTTATTTCTCTAAGTAGATTTCAACTTACTGGGCAGTGATTTTGTGTTCTAAGTCTTTATAGGTCTAGCAATTTTATAGTACATACAAGGACACTCAGCAAGTTTTGATTAATTGAATGTGTTTATTATATTTGAGCCTTGGATCCCCAGAAGACCAGAAGGTGGTCTAAATCTGGAGTTAGAATTTGATACATGCAGTATGAATGTAAAACTGGATTGTCATGTCTATCCCTTAGGCTTCTTCTATGTTCTCTTATTTTTTGATGTTTACATATGGCTTAGCCAGCTCATATTCTGTAGTTCTTTAAAATTCCTCAGGTACAAAGAGAATTTTATGGTAGAGTCACAACACTTAATTTTCATTTCAAAAATGTTAAATGGAATCAAACTTGAGAGAGATTTTTATTAGTTATTGCTTTTAAAAAGAAAGGCATTTTGCCTCAGACATGATCACTTACAGATTATCTGCTAATCAAATAGATGTCACCCTGAAGGTGCTCTAATCAAATAGAGTCTTATCAACTATTTGGGTGGAGGGAATATTGGAGGCTTTTAATGAAGGAATAACTAACTGTCATCACTTACCTTGAAAATCAGGATTTGTGGATTTGAAGGAGAGGGATCAGAGCTGTGAAGGGATTCATTACTAAGCTTTGTGAGAAGTGGATCTGGCAGTGTTTTTCCTGTAGAAAAGTTGTCCAGGGCAACACATGGTAGCTGACTTTTCCAATTATGTTTATTGAGGTAATATTTTAAAATATTAACAGGGTTGGTTTTAGGAAGAGGTCATTCCTACTTCCATTGGAGGGACAATTTGGTGTTCTTTATAAAAACAATAGTTTTTAAATAGCTGTCTTAGTTCCTTGAATTCTAGTGGCTGGAGTTGTTCACATAGGCTCACTTGTTACTCAGTTGGATTATCATAAAGGGGTTTAACACTAGCAATTAGTGACCTTTGAGGTCTCTCCATCACAAAGAGACAATGATTATATGATTTTCAAGGAAAAGTGTTCTGAGTAAATCTAGTCGTGATTCAGAGTCCACATATGCTCCCTGTAATTTCCTTTCCTTCCCCCCCTTACTAATTTATGCATACAAGAACTGGGGGACAGTCCAGAGGTGGGGGGCTGTAAGAGGATTCACCAGAGACTGAGTGGGGAGCAGAACAAG